AAGGGTGGGCAATTTTGTTGGTTGCCTGCGGCAACTGGAACTGGGATTCCAAGGGGATGAGCGACCCACAGGGCAGAGTGTTGTCATTCCCAAGCTGGCTGAGCCCAACCCCCGGAGTCTCGATGGTTACGTGGAACTGTTGCGACTCGGGCAATGGCACGTACCATTGGGTCTTGGGAAGAGGGAAGAAGAATCATTGCAAAGGTCGGGTCTCCAAATGGGTCTCCAAATGGGCAATGAGTGGCTTGCCTTTCATTCCGGTTCAAACCAACACCCACTGGGTACCCGCAAAACAAGACACCCCCACAATTCTGCGAACGAAATCGGAGGATACTGACGGCTGGCCAATGCAATTCAAGTCATGGTAGCCCCCGTTTATTGGGTGACTGCACTATCCCCTGCGATGGAACCCCTCAAAAGGGGTTCCCTGAGAAGACAGTCCGATTCCTCTAAACAGATGAGGGTTTGGACTCCATCTTGGTTTCGAGGAAGTGAGTAGAAGTCTGGTGACTTCTGACTGGGGACTCCGCGTTTCCGTTTCGATTTCGCATTGATTTCTGGAGCTAGAGCTGGTCTGTTTACAGGGAAGCTTTTCTTCACTGTGGCTACGAAAGTCTCCCTTTTGTAGTGATTTCGCGAGAGGGCTTGTTCAAGATGGGCCAAGCTCTAGTTGAACACAAGACTGAATCTTGCAGCTTTCAGAACCACCAAAGATCCGGATTGTCGCCCTCCACAGAGCTAGCGCCAGGAACCTCATTCGGCACCCCTGAAATGCATGGCTTCGTGTGCGTTGCCCTGGTTCGCAATCCCAAACCTTGAAAAGGCCTCAACTTTGTGGTGAAGCAAATTCCAAATTCCCCCGGGAGGGGCGCAAACCACCAGAAGACCCAAGACGAGTCAAATCCTCCATGAAGGTGCGGCCAAACCGTGAGCTCGCCTTGATTCGCAGCTGTCCCTTTGGCTCAAAAGGCTCGCATGGCCAACCAGCGAAGGCAGCGAATGGGGAAGGGGATAGCCCTTAGAAGCCTTGCAGATGTTCAGCTCTAGGTTCCATCATGCAAATACCATCAAGCCGATGAGAGAATGACAGCTGTCGTTTGAGTGGGCGCTCCCAATTCGCCAAACCAGGGTCCCTGCATCCACCTGGAAGCAATGAACCCAGCCTGAGCCAAGCGCCGTGCAGAACCCGAGGATACGCCATGCCTTCAAAACCGAGAAGTGCAGATCCAGAAATCGAGACAGGATAGAAAAATCCGCAGCTGCATCCTAGCATATGTAATACGCTAGGCATGAGTATACAACATATATATATATATATGTACGCGTATTCAGTAAGAGCCAACTTTTTATCGCCGCCAGCGCCCAAAGCGCCCGCTTGTCCTCCCTTGGGCGGTCAGCCTGCGGATGGAGGCTTGCAACTTTGGGATTTTAATGCAGGGCCAGAGACAGCTGGGTTGCCTACGTGGGTCCTTGGTATAAGGCTCCTTGTTTGCCCGTGGTGTCTGTAAGCGTTTTCGCACCCAGACAAGTAGGCTGGTTGGTTTTCGTGCGCAATCCCACCTTGCGGTTGGCTACGTGTCAGATCTGAGATGCACATGAAGCATCGACTTTGACCGGTTGCGTTTAGTGGCTGAGGGAAAGAATGAAAGGACGGCAGAAGTGAGAGTTGTAAATGGACAGCTGGCAGGAACCTTCGGGAAGTTCCCGTTGCTTCTTTTTTTTACTGGAAGATCATTGGGGATGGGGCTTGTCTTCAAAATTGCAAATCAACACAAACTAGTTTCAGCCTCTTGATTTAGCGGAAAAATACAAACAGGCGAGGCCGAATGACACTGGTCATTTATTCGGGGGTAGACATGTCCAGACTATTGACCCTTGTTGATCCTGCGCAAGGTGGCCCAATGGTCCGAAAACGGGCCCATATGTTTGACAACTTCTTTTCACGCCAAAGCCAACCTTTGACAGTGTGGTTTGCCAAGGTCCCACGACTGTTGGCAAAGGTGATCGCCGTTGATTGCCAGGTCCAGGCCATAATCCGAAGAGTCAGGTTTTGTTGGAAGCACTCGAGTTGTTTTGACAGAAACCGTTGCAGCCATGAATGATGTCATGCATGGTGTTGCAGGTTGCTCCAAACACACGTTCGGTCAATTTCCACTATCCCGAGACCAAACGTGTCAATTTCACCAAAAGGAACCTGACCAGGCAGCAATTGGTCCTTTATCTCTCCCTTTTACTGGGTTTCCTTCATTTCCTTGTTGGAACCTCTAGCAGACCGATCGCGTCAATGGGGGTTTCCCACCCTTCAAATCGCAGAGCCACGTCCTCACCCGGGTAGATGAAGGTTAGGGCAAATCCCCTTGCCGATCGGTTTTGGGACCTCCAAAAGTGGATCCATCGTTTCAACTGGGGCCGCTTTTTGGGGTTGGAAATCCATTTTAATAAGCCGAAAGGAATTGGTTATGGCGCAACTTTTCAGGAAAGTCCAGGCCGTGTTGCCATCGTTTCAATGGGGCCAGGTGCAGACGCCCTTCGCGCTGCGCGCCGGCTGGCCGCGGACGCAGACGCTGGAGAGCCCGGCCCCGGCGGCGGCCGCGCCGCTGCGGAGCGCCCGGGCTGAGATTTGGGGTCGGCTCCAACTCGGTCTTTTTTGTGCCCTGAACGTGGCCAGATCAAGGCTGGCCAGGTGAGTGGTGCCAGAAAAGAAGGGAATAGCCATTGAAAGCGGCTTTTTGCCCGATGTTTTAGTTTTGTGATGGTGTTGCGTTCTTGTGCTGGTCTTGGACTTCCTTTTCGAATGGGCACGGAGAGAATGCCCTATGTTGGTTTCAGGCCCAAGTGCGTGTTTCTAAGTCATTGCCAGTGTTCATTCCTAGCGTATTGACTGGATTTGGGTTTAAACTGCCCAACGCCGTTCTAATTTGATGTCCCTTGGCTTGCTAAACCTAAACCCCAAAACGTTTTGGACCAATCTTCTGTCAAGAGGGAAGCCGAAGGACACCCACCACTTTCAGTTTGATCCATGCTATAGAAAACGGAGGTTTAGTTTTTATCCGCGAAACCAAGAAAGCCCCCATCAAAGCCCCGGTGTCGTAAAATGGTAGATATTCCGTGCCTGCCAATGAACGGGACGAATCACTTACCAACAAGTGCGAGGTCTTGTCCCTCCACAGTAGCTTGCTGGTTCTCAACAAATAACAATACCCTATAAGTAGGAGAAGCCAGAAGTCTGTGGGCGCTCCACCCCTAAAGTGGGGAAATCACTCGTTGCAGGGGCTTCCTTCTCGCAAGTTGCGGGCTCCCCTTCCTTCTGGTTTCATTCTCAGGATCCCAAGCTGTTCATGCTCGGGGATTTCTGTTGGTGGTCCGTGACAGAAAGCCTTGGTCGGGCTGTTTGGGGCCCACAAGCGGCTTGATGTTTTTTTTGGCGGTAAGGTGCAGCCTTTGAGGGGCCTATAAAGTGCATGTGAAATCAAGTCAACTACAGTGACCTCTTTGGCCACAAGCCGATTCACAAAGTAAAGGCCCCTTTCGGGGGACATCCAGCTTTCTTCTTCTACTCTTCAGGCCCTCGAAGGAAGCCCACCGAAGCTGAGATGCGTTTGGTAAGTCGACGCCCTACCCAGGCCACCGCTGGAATCGGCCCGATGGCAAACCACCAGATTCGACCTCGCACATGCACTGCTTGAGATGGTTTGGGGGATTACCTGGCTAGCGATTGGTGAAACCGAACTCTTGTGGCTCAGGGTCAAGAAGTGTAATGTCTGATTTGAGCGCAGCCTGTTTGGGGCACACTTGCACTCTCGCAAGCTGAGCATGTTGAACTTGACTCTTTGACTCATCCCTGCAATGAGAAGCTACTGATTGGGCTGGTAAATTGCTGGTGGGCGTCCCGTTGGGTTTCTGGACAAGACGGCACTCTTATTAGAAGCAATTCTGGTATGCCCCCCTCACATTCTGGTCTTTACCAGCGCCACATGGGTGTTGTTTTGTCAGGGTACCCATTTGTTGGGTGGGTTTGCTGGGATGCTTGAAGGAACACCGCGATTTTCGGGCCAAGTGTCCTTGGGTACCCATTTGTTGGGGTGGTTTGCTGGTACCAAGGGAAACCCCGCCGTTTGGCTCCAAGTCTTGAGACGCCAACCCAATCTTCGCTTCGTTCAGGTCTGGTGGCCTCAGGCGTCGTGGGTGGGGGAACTGCGGTGAACGGGGGCAGTTGCCTCTACGCAGGCGGGGGGGGGGTGAACGGGAGGCGGGTGGTGGGGGGGGGGTTTGGGGGGCGGGCGGGGGTGGGGGATGGGGGGGGCGGGGGAGAGAGGGGTGACATGTTTTGGGCGCAAAAGCGGGGGGGACTGCAGCTGTCCAGCCCCCAATTCTCAAGCTTTTCGAGGGGAATGTGGGAGCGGCATCCGTGTTTCAAAAGATCCGGCGACACAACTAACTAAGGTTTCTTTCTTGGGCAGTATGGATTCGTTTGGGGTGGGGTTCCTTTGACTTCCTTTAGCTTCTTTTAGCTTCCTTTTGCTTCATTTACCTTCCCTCAACTTCTTTGCTTCCTTTGCGTTCCTGTAGCTTTCCTTACCTTCCTTTGGCTTCATTTGGCTTCCTTTAGTGCTTCTCTGGCTTTCTTTGGCCTCCCTTAATTTTCCTTTGCTGTTTTGAGGGTGCCGTAACCCCCTATGCCCACCCCAAACGAACTCGTCTATTCACCGGCCAGGTCGCCGTGCAGGGTACCGGAGTTGCTCTAGTCGGCTTGGAAGCAAATCGTTTGGACCCCAAACATCCGCGAGGGTGGCCAACGACCACATACTGCATGTGTCTGTCATATTGTCGCCAAATCTCCCCCCCAAACGAAAAATGTGGTTTCCCTTCATATTCTTTTATACCCCCCCCCCAAGAAAAAAGAGACAGAAAGTGTACCGAGAATCCAAAGGGGCACAACTGCCCACGTGACTTTGGGCGGATGGGCCTTTCCACCGGGCTTGCAGCGACCTGACAACCGAGAAATCAGCCAATTGTGGGCTTAAGATGGGTTTAAGGCCGAAAGTAGATGGCACAATGTTCTTAACTTGGGCGATTTCCCCCATTGGGTTGAAAGCCAGGTGCTAGAGGTGAAACATGTCACACCCACTGGCTGTTTGGGCGGAAATCAACCACTCCTTGGTTCAAGTCTGCCTACCCAGCGCTTCCAGGTGCTCGTTTAACTGCTACTTGTGCAAAGTGCTCGTTTAACCAGCGCTTTGTCAAGAGGCTGGCCTTCAACCCCGTGAAAGGTGCGTGAGGAAGCCGTGAAAGACCGTGAAGCTTGTCCTTTGGACTTGCTCAGCTAGGTATGTCGAGGGCCGCCGATTTGTTTGGTCCACTCGCCAGGCACCCAGTACTACCCCCTGTCTCCGCGCGCGCGCCGCCGCGCGCAGAGCCAGCCGGGGCGCCCAGCACCGAAGGCCGGGGCGCCCTGCGGGCTGGCTTCCTGGGTGCCCAGAGGCGCCATGTTGGCCTTCGGGGGAGAAGGTTCCCTTTGAAAATCTCAAACAAAAAGAGGATGGCCACTGGGCATCTTGAGGCTTAAAGGAACGCCAAAAGGACAACCTATGATCTGGTGCGAAAGTTGTCTGGTTTGATTATGTGATCCACGGCCGCCCCTCATTTCTACCGTCCGGCCCAGTGGAATACTAAGCTGAAGATTGTTGAACCCGCCCCAAAGCCGCCGACTAAGATCCTGTGATAGCGGCCAAAGACAAATCCTCATGGCCAACGCTCGCTTGCCCTGCGGGAATCCGCGGGGTCAAGAGCAGTTGGTTTGAACAGCAAAATCCTCGTAAATTTCTTTGAAAGGGACACCAAAAGGTGTTTGCGGATGTCGCTACATGTTGGATCCACTGTTCTTTCACGAACTCATCAGCTCCATGAGGTTTCCCTTTCAATGAGTACAACTGTCAAGGAGCCAGGGCTCCATGAGGTGCCTGTTAGCATAAGCCTGCGTTGTTAGTGACACAAAGGCCCTTCAAAAGCTTTTATTTGACTATGGAGCCCCCAGTTCGACACATGTCACCCACAGACCCTAGAGGCTCCCACGCCATTGAACTTGGTGGCTCCCAGCCATCCCCTTGGCCTTTTAGTTGTTTGGTGTTTGGTGGTAGTTTCCATTTAACCCACTAAAAGTTTAAACTTTAGCGGGGGATCTGAGGACAGAGACCTGAGGTCTCGACTTTTCATAATGAGAGACCCCCAAGGCGCCCTGTGACTTGTTTGGAGGTCCAATGCATCGAGCGCACTGCCCACCATGCCCTTGGTGCCGGAGGTGACGCGGGCGAGTGGGGATCAGGTTTGTTCCTGTGCGAATGTATGGGAGGTGTGTGTTCGAAAGCAAGCCAAGAAAAGGAATCAGATCTACAGGGATTTTACACCTCTTAATATATTCGAAGTTGTGGGGACAATCCGGGGAAGAACAAATTCCAGCATAGGAATTTGGCAAACCTGGCCACGGCCCCTCCAAATGCCCGTGTGTGTTGATAATACTTCCTGCAAAGCGGGGAGCCCAAAAAGGGGCCTCCCAAACGCCTCAATGAAGGCTTTGCGAATCATTTCTTTGTTCCCTGGCGATCAGGTTCCTTCTGGGTTGGCTTGGGGATCTAAAACCGGGTTGCCACTTTGATAGAAGTGTGGTTGGTGGCCGGAAGCCACAGGCTCCGAAGCTCAACGAATCTGGGGAACAAATCAACTTCCCCAGAATTCGCTCCCCTTTTTGCTTTTTTCTGATTTGGGGGTCCCTTTGTTTTCCACTCACCTAGCCAAAAAGATAATTTTTGGCACCAAATTCCAGCCTAGTCAACTCTAAATTGGGAGATTGACTGTCAAGTCAGGTCAAATCGATTTGATATTCCGAATTCCTGGGATTGAAGCGGTGATTTCAGTTTTGGGTGGGCTTTCCGTTTTTTTTTTGCTTGTCCGACAGGCCCGTCCGCCGGAGACGGAGCCCTTGCTGAGCAGATTGCAACTTGGCACATGGAGATCCATGGACACGCTTGCCCAAAGCAAATCTACCTTTGACCTTTCAGTGTCCCCTCGTTGGGTTCGATTGATGGCCCCGAAATTCGGCGAACCTGTAACGCTTTGGCAACTGAGGCTCACTTCCGAGTCGAGTTGTTGGTTGTTTTCGTCTTTGGGGAAGGGCATTTCCGTGGTAAGCTGTTTCAGACTTGGAGCTGTTCCAATCCACAGGAGTGAGTGCAAAGCGATCTGACATTTTCACCGCTTTGTATTCATATTTACACTTGGCTGATTGGAAAGCTAGATTCTTATTCGCTGGTTGTAGGAAATGTTCTTTTAGTACCGGCCGAGGGAATCCTGGAAGTGTGTGAATCCAATGTCGGTACCACAAAATGCAGAAATCTGTACGTTCCAGTTTCATCGAGACGCAAAAGGTTGAAACAGACTTGAGGAAGCTGAGGCCGGACACGGCAGAACATGAGTCCCATTTTTGGGAGCTCTCTTGGTGCTATGGTGAGTTTCCCCAAATCGGTCCCCCAGTCTGTCAGCAACGTTGGCTAAAGTTGGAAACGACAACAGCAGGTGCATGATGCCCAATAGCACTAAAACCTAATTCTTAGGTCAAACCGCGTAAGCTATCCATGTTGGTCTTTCTAGTCGTTGCTTTTTCGGTCGTTCGCGCGTGCGACATGTATGTAGCACGTAGATTTGTGTTGTTGGCTTTTCGACACCATGTTTCCTATGGCCATTTTTCAGGGAAAGGACGTGTGACTCCGTATGATAAAACAGGGTTCTTTTCTATTTCCTCTCAAACACCGTCCGAAAGTCACACCCAATGTTCGATCTCCCCGAGGTAGAAACTCGAGTTGGTTTCGTTTTGGATTCACAGTTCGTGCACAGATGCAGACCGAAATTTGAGGCCTGAGGCAAGCCCTCAGGCGTCAGGCGGCCTAGTGTAGCTGGCAGAGCCCTTCACTTCCCAGATCTAACTGGGATCTCGCTTCACATGATGTTGCATTTTAAGGTTCGCTAAACATCAGAATAGAGGTCCCACAGAAATTGGGATGTTTCTTTTGTTTTCCCTTTAAAAGCTTCTTCACCACAGGTGCCGCGACTCTCGAAACCCCACCCCCGTTCTTGTGGCTGGCGTGGCTGGCGCGTTTCTGGCCGCCGACTTGAGAGAGGCACTCGCCCTCCAGCCTGGAGGCCAGCTATGCGGGCTTGGACCAAGCGCGCTGGGGCCCCAAAGGCCACGGGCCAAGATCCGCGGGCCCCGAGCTCCGCGGGAAATGGTCGAACGGGGGCGCAAGATCCCCAGCCGCCCCCCCCCCTTTGCCTGAAAAATGGGGGGGGGGGGGGGGAAGGCGCTTTGAGCCCTGGAGATCTCCATTTCTAGTTTAAAAGGCATGTGAGTATGGATGAGTTTCCCTTTTCCATTTACAAGTTGTACCATGTGTCGTTCTTCCCTTGCTGGGTGACCTCAATCAATCCCCCGTCGGGGGAATTTTCGACCTCTGGCACTGAAGGCCGGCTGCGGGGCCCGGCCACGCCGCCTCCCACGCCGCCGGGGACCGGGCAGCCTTTGGCTTGGAAAATTTGAGAGGAGTGACCAAGACGAACTGTCAAAGAGGTGAGCAGCTCTCAAAACCCCCTTGAACTATACATATTTTACTTCCCAAGAGTATCGATTCGTGGAAGAGTTGAAAAAGAGCCGCTCAGGTTCAAACAGGACCCAAGTTTTAAACAGGACGAAGCCAACAGGTGCCTTGAACAGTTGTACCGTGAAGCGCTTTGGTTTCCTAAACCAATCCCTAAACAGGGATACATCAATAGCACCCAGCTGTTTGGGATGGGTTCAGTCAACATGTCTTGTAGTGAATCTATGTTTAACCTGGGATTTCAGAACATGCACAAAATGTTAATTGTCAACCTTCTATTGCCATTCAGGTACCGGAACACTTCAAAATTGTCGATTTCCAGAGCTCCCTGCTCAAAAACCACGTCGATTGCCAGCTAGCAACCTTTTCGCCTCAGACCCATTTTTGTGCACCCCGGCGGGGCTCAAGCGTGACCCCAACCCGAAGCTTGAACAAAAATGCAGTGTAATTTACCCAGGGAGTAGGTGATTGCCAACCTGGGAGCCGGAAGCTGCCTGCACTTTGCAGCAAGCTGCGCGTTTCATTGGCACGGCGGGGGGTGTCACAGAAAACCCAGCAGCGGGCCATTGTACTCAAGGGTTCGCAGTCCTTTGTGTCGAAGGGCGTGTTAGTAAGCCCCTGATTTGTTGCACCGTTGATTGAGTTTCTCGCAACGGGCAAACTGATCCTCGTGCATAGGGGCTGTTGTTTAATGACCCATTCTGGCTTTATTCACTACCCGCCCACCAATCAACAAGGAACCTGACAGGGGGGTCCTGGTTTAGACAATTTTCCTTTTGAAGGGACCCCCTGTCAGGTTCCATGTTGATGGGAGGCTAGCGACTAACCAGACACCATTTAGGACATGGTTTTATGTTCAACCAAGCTCTGGGACCCGGCGCCGTCTTTGAACATGGTCCAACTCAGCCTGCGTTTCATGGCCAATCCGGATCGGCCTCGGGCAAAACCATTTCCGGAAATCGGACATGGGTTCAGGAGCAATCCCATTCGGTGTCCCGTTGATTTGCCTTTCGTTTCCGTGCAGTGTCCTTTTGTCTCTGTTGTTCCTATTCCATTTCACTTTCCTTTCGGTCCCTTTCACTTTCCTGTGTTTATTTCTTCTTTCCTCTTCGGTTTTCTTTTGTTTCTTTTTGGCTTGGGCCACTGAAGGCAACTGGCCCACGCCGAAGCCGCCTCGCCGCACCCGGTGTCGCCTTGAGCGCGCGTGCGTGGCCCGAGTGCCAGGACGGCCGCCAAGGTGGCCCTCTTCCGGGACCGCGAGGCGCGGAAGAGTTTTTGGGAATCGCTTCAAGTGGCTCCAGCTACAGCTGCGCTTGTCAGAGTCCTCAACTGATTGCAAAGGGGAGTGCAGCTTCAGAGGCGAGTCCTCAAATTGATTGGCCATGGGGACACCCCTTGAAGCTCTGGCAAACCACAGCTGCGAGGGACACTTTGTAGGATACTTTAGACCTTTGGAGTTGAAATCCAGCCTCCTGCCGACTGTGGAGACGATAGACAGACTGGGGGGCTGATTGTGTGTATGATGTAAAAATTAGGGGCTTGCCAAATGTTTGGATTTCATGTTCAAAAACGTTGCGAAAAGTGGCGACTAGTTTGGACACGCACCAATGCACATGCCATTCTGAGCTCAATTTTCTGGCTTGCTATTTGGGCGTGTCTGTTTTTGGAGCTGGTACCTTTTTTGGAGTGATCTTGAAGGGAAGCCAAGAGTAAACCAACCATTTTGGGGGATCCACTGTCTTGAAGCCCCCCCTTTTTTGTGTAGACATTGCGATCCAAGCGACGGGAAGCTGTTTGGCGCCAAGCTGGGAGGTGAGACCTGCGCCACGCCCAGGCCCAGCCGAAGGGCAGCTTTTGGGGGGCTCCCTTTGACTCGCGTACGCAGATGCATGTAGAGGAGGAACCAGAAGTTTGATCCATGTGTTTTGTTGACATGCTGTAGGGAGTACCCCTTGGTTGACTTATATACGGTCAGAATAGATGAATCCCGAAAATGGTTGGCTTCCTGTTGGCGTTGTATGTATGTGTATATTGTTCATATGAACGAACAGCACATACGCGTCTATTCGTTTTATGTTTACAATACGTGTATATTTGTTGGGCACAGATCCGGAAAGGGCCCTTGTGCGACAGCAGCATTATGGTCGCAGCCCACCGCAGCACTGCCCGTGCCTAGCAAGCCTCACATGTTCACAGAGGAGACAGAGGAAGATTCTAGGGGTTGATTCCTTTTCCATTATTTTCAACCATCGTTCTTTTCAAAAACCAGAGGTTTTCTAGAAAACACATCTATCTGTCAGATCTGTTTGTTGCATCTGCCTGTAAAAGACTCTATCACTGCTTCTAGCAAAGGAAGCATATGCTCTGCGTCCAGAAAGAGTGGGTAGTAGTTCCAACATCTTCAGAACATTCATAGAGGAACCAGGGCGGAGTGTCAGAAGGACAAAGCCTTGCAAACACTGGAAATATCGCAACTGCTCTGGACATGTTACGTTAGTCCCACGTCAAGCCTGTTCACGCGCACGAAGCACATTCTCCCAGAGACTGGTTAAGTATTACCCGCAAAAGCCGAAGATGGGCGGGAGACATTGTGCGACTTTAGACTTTGGAGTCCCTTTGGCATATTCCTGTGTTCGCAAAGACCATGTTGAAGCCCCCGACATTCAACGATGCAACTCAGGCATGTGGGACGGCTTTGGCATGTGTGACTCGCTTTCTTACGTTTTATACTGATGAGCACCATTTTTTCTCCAAGGGCATTCCCCCCTGCCGCGTTTGGCAAGTGTTTTCTTGCCCTGGCACGAGGATGACAAACATATTTCAGCGTGGCCACATGGGTGCTTGTTTAGGGACTCTTTGGGAGTATACTTTATCGGTATTTTAAAAGGCAACCCGTGCCCTTTTGGGGTTCTCCTATTTGACACACTCGCACACCAACAACCACATATTTCCTCGACTTTCCCACTGGGTTGGCAAACTTCAAGCTTTTGGTCGGCTGGTTGCTTCATCAAAAGCTTTTCTGTTTGTTTGCCCAATACACACAGCAGGTGGCTCGAGCAATAGGTGTGCCTAAAAATAGGGAGGGAGACTTCAAACGTAGCGGCTGTCATGTTGTTTCCCTTCAGAATAAAGTGGAAATCTAGGGGTAGCCTCCCCAATCTTTCCAGGGATGCTTTCTAAAAACCAACAAGAAACCCCAGGAAAACGGATCCGGCGTTGAGTAAAGAACGATGGTTGAAAAGAATGGTACATGTTGGTGCATGTTGCTTGGATGTTAGGACTTTAGCTTTTTGCCAACTAGTGGGTTTTCCATCAAACCACTAAAAGTTCAAAGCTTTTAGCAGGGGAGCAGGAAGCAACCAAGAAGGGCCATCCACTCAGGAAGTGAGAATAACATGGTTGTTGTTGGGAAACATCATGTTACACTTTTGCTCATGGTGGTTTAGTGGGAAACTCCCACTTTAGCGAGAGAAGGTGGAAAGGGCGCCTTCAAGCAGAATTTGAGCTTCAGGCCAGGAGCCGCTGGCAAGTGCTGCAAGAGTGTCGCCGGAGGCTGGAGAAGCAAGTCACGGTTGACTAAAAGGAATGGATGGGGTAGACTTAGGATACATTTTAAATTTTACCAGTGACTCAAGGTGAAGCAAGCTATGAAATATACATTCTAGAACTGGCCTAACTCCAAGCATGATGGCAAGATGGGTAGCTATTTGCCATTTTTGGGTAGATCGTGTGAATCTGAAGAATATGAGCTTCCGTGTACCCCAGATGCGGACTAGAGGTTCGGACGATTTTCCAATAGTCTATGGTCCATTCGGAAGGAACATGGACTCACGAATCTTCCCATATCCAGGGTAGCAGATCATATTGACCGTGGCTAAGGCACCCTCGCCATGAGCGGTGTTCACCCCATAGAAGGGGAACAACACACCACTTGCTTGAGGTGTTGTGCTTGTTTAACGAATGCTTGATTGTTGCTGTGATAGGGAAACGGGCATGACATTTTATGTGTTGGTGACAGCTTCAAATAAATGGATGACCAGAGGGAAACGGAAGATTCTATACTTGTTTAAATTGATCCCGAAAGCGAGCTGAACCCGAAACATTTGGATAGGATCTACACAGCAATCAAATTTCGCCGGGGCTGGCGTTTCAATGTCTAGCGACGTTCAAGCAAAGATGTTGCGCAACGGATGAACTCTGTGCAATGTTCACATCTTTTCAGCCCTTTTCGTCGTTTTGTTCAGACCTTTTCCAGGCCGTTTCGGTTTGTTTAACCTCCAAACGGAACCCCGAACGCGTCATCCCCCTCAAGACCTGGACGGGAAGATCCGCTTAGTGTCCGGATCTCCCTGTAGACAGGTTGGCTCCCCTATCCCCATGGAAATCGGGTAGAATGGATTGTGTGAACCGTATGGGGTCCTTGGGGCATCCAGCTTTGGAGTATGTCCATTGCGCTTTTTTCTGTGACGTCAGCGAACACACTCGTTGGGATGAACGTCGACTTCCCTATCCCTGTGAAGCTGGGTACAACCCTGAGTTGGGCGACAAGTGAAAAGAATGCGGGATCTACCTTTGGAGATGTAGGGGGTCCTCTCAATTGGCTGACGAGTGAAACAATGGTTGGCATCCTTGGGCAACCTTTGCTTGACAACCAACCCCAAAATGAGGTTGCTCAAACAGGTGATTGAACGCATTTTTCCCAGGTGTGTGTGTGTCTGTGTATTTTAACAGGGTGTCCAACAAAAAGGTGGGTTCCATGTAATCTTCTTGGTTTACATTGAACCAGGTGTGTTGTGTCTGTGACTTTAAACAGCCCCCCAAAAAAAGGTGGATTCCATGGTTGAAGATCTTAGTTTCCCTTTCAGCCAGCGTGAATTCCGTGGATTCCATGGCTTTCTTCTCGGTGTCCCTTTCAGCCAGCGTGACCACGGGGTACCAACTCCCAACACGGAGGCGCTGCGCTCCGCGGCCTCGCCGTGCTCCAGCTGCGAGCTCAGCGCACGAAGCTGTTGGAGGACAAAGTGCGCGAAAGGGCGTCCAAAATTCACACGTGGATGACAAACCGCCCAGTGTTTTCGTCGATAAGGAGCTTTCCCAGAAGTTAAAAGGTCAGTTACCCAGCATTCGGGGGCCAGGAATCTTGGCCCAGCCCCACCGGCCAATGCCCCGGGGGGGGGGTTTTAGGATCAAAAAGGTCACTGTCACTGCAGAGATGAAGTTGGAGTCTTCCAAGTGCTTCCTGGAATCGGGAATGGTGCAACATTTCGGGTTGAGGGCCGATTTGTGTGACAAGGGAATTCCCTTTGAAGTGACATAGTAGTCATGGGAATTGCCACTTTAGCATCAGCCCTCCACGTCATTCTTCTTTAGAAACATGCGGAAAGCTTAGACAACTCGGGGTGTTGTTGGGTACTTAGCAAGATCCAGTGCTGCGGGGCTGGGCCAATCAGAGGTACTCTACAAAGTTCAGCTGTTCGTGTTGCTCTGTGATGGCTGCTCCGATTGGCGTCGGTTGCATGATTTGTGCACTTGTCGAGTCGACGTCGCCCTTCTACAAGGCACAAGGAAGAGGCATCTAAAGGGGAGGTATTTGGAGGCGGCTTCTGCCATGTTGAGCATACCCCCTACTCAAAATACCCGCTTTTTTCAGGGTATCATGTCGACCCTCTACCAAAAAAAAGGAGGTATTTACCATGGAAAACCAGGTTTTTCACAAAAATACCCCGAAAAAAATGGGTATTTTGAGTGGGGGGGTAGCTTGCTGTCGTTTCCACCGGGTTTTTCCGCTTCAGCCATTGGGGGGCGAAGCCTCTGAGGCTTTGCGGACCGACTCCAGCTCGCCGGGCGCTCGAAGTGCTGGGGTTGGCTTGCGGCGGCATGTGGGGTATCTGTGGTCTATGCGAAACGCACCTGAGCCACGTGCTCAAGGTTTAGGGACAATTATCTTGCCATAAATAGTTGCGGCCGCCTTTGTATTTCCTTAGATGGTTCTGGTCAACCATTTTAATACCCGGTTTTGAGTGCGACTCGCCTGGAAAGGACTGGTGGAAGACATGGTGACTTGAGGAGACCGGGGGGGCGGGGGGTGTATTGCAATTTGCGGTACTTTACAGGTGCCGGTAGCGAGATCTCGTTTTCGGATCTTCAATTTGCAAGGGAGTTTGAAAAACAGGCAGCCTTTCATCAAAGGCCTACCACGATGTATTGGGGCGTGGCTATGAATTTTAATGGGAAACTCCTCTTCAACGTGATTGGTGGACATGAATCACCGCCTAAATGTTGTCCACACGCCTGGATCTATCGGCATGCAATGCTCGTAACACGGGCACTGCCGGATTGAGGCCGAGGAGGAGAAGAGAGAGCTGCGACGACAGCTGCAGGCCCTGTTTCGGCTTTCGACTGGATGGCGCTGGACATTTGAAGCCGTGAGAAGTCTGGCGTGTTCAACACCAAGCGTTGCAGCTGTGTGAACTCTCATGAGTTCTCTTGGTGGCTCCCAGCCATCCGGTTCCTCAGCTTTTTGGCCTAGTGTTTAGTGGTAGTTTCCATGTAACCCGCTAAAAGTTAGTCGGGGGATCTGACCACCCCGGTCCTGGAGCGGAGTGGTGCCTAGCCCAATCCATGAGGCTATCTGCTCATCTGGGGCCCTGGCCACCTGAGTGTCGCAGAGGATTCACCTGCCAACCCCCTTTGCAGAAGATTTTGCGCGAAAAGGGATCAAACAACAAGAGCCTATGTTGCAATCCTTCGATTGTTCAGGATCGCCATGGGCCAGAATCCAAGCGTGTCATGTTCTTGTTGGTGGCTTCATCTTTGTGACCCCAAGCCACTCCCCCCCGCCCGCGGACTTGAGCCAGGCGTCCACTCAGAGGGCCCAGAACTTGGAGCAGGAGCAACAGGCTGGGCGTGGACCGGGAGATCCTGGGAGAGTTGGTGGGCGTGTGTTCGCGCAAATGCACTCGGATCATTTTTTACCGTTTTTTGTTTGTTCACGCGCATGTTTTGCCATTCCAATCATTGGAGACTATTTTGCCGTAAACCTGCCGTTGCGAGCACTTGGCAGCTATTCCTCTTGGGGACAGGTCAGTATAATCTGGGGAGCCACTATCCATCCACAGAAAACCTAAGAGGGCAGGGCAGGGGCAACCGCATGTTTGGGCTACAAATGCTTCAGTGCCACATCCATTTGGGCGCTTCACTGCCTCAAGGGCATGCGGAATTTAATCAGCCCCCTAGCAAATCATTGGGAAGGCCAGATCAGACCCTCCGAGATCTTGACTGGTATTCTTATCTTTTGAATTGAGCAGCCCAAGACTACACACCAGCCTTGCAAGTTGCGGAGTTCTAAAACTCGCAAAGATGCCCTTTGCCTGCCAATTGTGAAGCCAGCTTCAATTAACAATCGATTTGCATTGCTTGCCATTGCTTGTGGCTGCTTGCCGTTGCTTGGCATTGCTTCTCATGCCAAGTTATAGTTATTTATTCCACTTGCTGCTTGGGCCGTTTGTGATAGCTGCCATAATATGACGAATCGTATGTGTTTCTTCTTCATGCGTTGCTTGCTCCATTTAGCTCCCCAAAGTTCCCGCGTACTAAGTTCCTAAACAATCACGACCCTCTTCATACCTCTTGAGCAAACTGCAAGCAAAACACCTCTTGCTGCCCCAAACTACCGATTTGTTTTTTCCCACTTCGAGGCCATGTAGCCCTCCCAGCGTCCAGAAAAAAATGCCACGTGGCCTGCGGCCAGGGATTGAAGACCTCGTTGCTGCGCATGGAGAAGCTGCTGGGGGCGTCTCGTTGCAACTGACAAGCTGCCGTTTTTCCGTTGGTTGCCCCAGCTGGGCCACAATTCAAAGACCGGTTCTGGGATGGGCTGCAATGGATAGGAACAATGGGCAGCCATGATCGAAACTATAGAAACCAGCATCAGCTAGGATGCTTGGAAGGGAGCAAAAATGGGTATCCAAATTAGCCTAAGAGGGGGCTAAGGAGCTATCAGGCTTTCTCATGGTAGATCAAAGCCTGGGCGGATCAAGGCTGGTAAGAGAAAGAAGCCCAGCCAGAAATAAGTAAAAAGGCCGGAATTCCGATCATTTGATTTGGTTGATGGTTTTGGGTACACTCCATTTGGTACCGGGTGTTGATTGTGACCGGGGCATTTCCTTTGTTCAGCTTACCTTTGAATGAGTTCTTTTACAAAGCACCCCCTTCGATATTTGTCGAAGGCTTTAGAGGTTTCGCTTGATATGGTTTGAGACACTTGCCCCGTCATGCTTTGAATAGTTTAACATTTGCCACAATATTGGGCAGACTCCAAAGAGGCGATTCTCGGTTGAGCATACGAGCGGAGATCCGACATGGTAATATGCAAGGACATTTGGGTATGGGTCAAAATTTGTCACCACCAGGATATGGACCGCAGGTTTCATGGTCCCTTGTTTCCATTTGCCGCGGCAAGCCATGTTGGGCACCGATGTTTGACCCACACCCATTTGGCTCGAGGTTTGTTCCCATTGGCCATATGGAGCCGATCTTCGTGGCCAAGGCGTTGACCGAAACAACTTTTTTCGTTCAGGGGTCAGCTGGACCAACTCAACTAGGTCCCCCAGTAGTGCCCTTTCTCACCTTTTTTTTGGTTGGGAGGGTTCCCCTACTAAAATAGACTACAGAAAAAGGTTGGTACCCTTATTCTAACCTCTCTACTGGAGGACCTATTCAAGGCATGTCGGGGATGGAGCATCAACCACGGTCTGTAATGTTGCAGGTGTATGTCTTTGTTTGGCGTAAGTTATTCTTGGTGCGGCTCATCGGGATGTGACAAAGCACGCCTGCCCCGGCCTCATGATTTTGCCGAGGAGGCAAAAACTGCTTTTTGTTGGTTCCCGCACCCCCTCCCATGTTGGCGGGTAAGCTCAGGATCTGGTGGTGACATCAAGCCCTCCGCAGGAGGCCGGGGCCTTTGGCCTAGACTTTCTGGGGCTGCCTTTGTTCCCCCGAAATAGCTTGCTTGAGACAGACTAGCTATGGAGTCCCACAAAAGCAAAGCTTAACCCCTGCAAGGGCGTCCCTTTATCCACCTTGCAAGGGCCAAAAGTAGACTTGCTGCTCAGCAGGACATGGAATGATCCCTATAAGCCATCCCTTGTTGTTTCTTTTAAGGAGACCCCCAGGTTCATTTGTTGCATTCCCTACTGAGCACCAAGTGGACCTTGCCATCCACGAATCCCGGCGAAAGGACTTGCGGGCTGTGTCGCCTGGATCCTTCGGCCGGCTCGAGCCTCAACCGACCCGGCGTTGCTGTCGCTGGGTCCTTTGAAGTGGATTCAGAAGTTGAAGCGTGGAAAATTAAATACCAACTTTGGGGGTTGGGGGAACCCTTTAAACCAGCATCAGGATGTCAAACTTTACCGGGGGGGGAGCCTTTAAACCAGCATTTTGATGTCATTTGGATGTCACAGTATTGGATTCAGGATGGGAGATTAGGAGATTGAAGTGATATGCTTGCCGCAGGTGTTTTGTTCCCGGAGCAGAAGCACATGTCCACTTGTCTCACAGAAAGTTCTTTCAAAGCTGCATGAAGGTGCACGAGTCTGCAGGAGTGATGGTTGAGGAGCCACCAAGGGGCAAATGATTTGCGGGTGGTCACTAGGGAATGTGGGAATGAACCCAGGGATTCCCTTAAACATGTTAAAGGAAGCCAGAAGTGATGGTTTTTAGGGGTCATTCCATTTCTCATTCCCTGCCTATCGCACCAGCAAGTTGACCTCAGGGTCAGCCCAACAAGGGCGGCCCCCCCCCCCCCTCTGCTGAGGCCGGACTTTGCCTGGCCTAAGCCTGAGAGAGGGTGCGAACCGCAACCGGAACTTTGAACTTTTTCAAAGGGGAAGGAAAACAGTCACCACCAGGGGGCTGGGTATTTCTTGTCCCTTCTTTTCCAGACACCCCCCGCCCCATCCCCCCCCCCCCCAGCTGCTTGACTGGGACAAAAAAAAGAGACTCCTCTGAGTTGCCGTTCCGCGGGGTTCCATCCGCGGATTGAAGGAGACATGCCTTAGCTCGAACATGCACACATGAATGTGACCCATGATTCTCAAAGCCACTCTTGGGGGAAATACGCTTCAACCGGCTTTGGGGTGGCACCTGAGCCGCCGTTTTTTAATGGGCCTTGACATAGTGGGGCAAAGGGGAGCAGGACAATTCAGCGGAGTGAGGCGGATGGAGAGTGATTGCTTGGGTCAAGCTGGGTGAAAGTAGAATAGAATGACATGAACCTTGTCAGGATAGCGGGAGTCTCCCAAGAGGTGCTTCCCCTATCCACGTGTCAATCCTTACCATGTCTGGACCTGGTAAGATAAATGTCATGTGTTGAGACAGATTGCGCTGCAGGCTCCCCATGTTTACTTTTTTTGGGGGGGGGGGCCATGTCAACTTGCTGCAAGAGGTGATGTTTTGTTGGGGCAGGGGGTGGGAAGTTGCTACAATTCTCTCTCTTTGGGATCGCCTGTTTCGACTTTGTTTCGCTCATGTGATGATGTTCTTTGGGATGCTTTGGCTTACCCAAATGCCACTGCCTGCAATTGTCCGTCACTTCAATCTGGCATTTGGAGGGACTTGGGGACGCAATTCAAAAGCATCCCCCCCAGAGCTAATATCAACAGTTTGCCATAGCCGCTTAAGTGGTCACCCAAGTTTGAGTCCCGGAACCTCTGTGGCTTTAACCAGAAAGGCCATGACGAATAGATATCTCCCCCAGTGACACCCCGAAAACGCACATGGAAGATGTAGATGGGCAATCCTTTGCGAAAAATCGAGGTCCCATTCGCGCAGAGGCCGGTTGCGCGCTCGCTGTTGGGCAGCCCGCTGGGTGAAAACCAGTCCTAGTCAGGAAGGCCAGTAATTACATCTTGCGGCTCCCAGGGTTGTTATGATTTGTTAATGTTGAAACGCATGTGGAAACATGAACTGTGTGTGGAATGCTTGACCATAATGGCATGTGCCATTTTGGCTCAAGCATTGCTCTGGGTTCCTGGAACCCAAGCTGATTGAAAAACTTTGATCTTTTGCATTTTCGAACTCAACCCCGACCAAGCGATGGCTTCCTCGGCAACCTCGGCAACTTCCTTTGAGTTGATTGAGGACCAGACACTCACCGTGGAGGAGGTTGAAATGGCCAGCCAGGAGGCCCAGGACATTCGCACACGGGAGGCGGCAGTGGCGGCCGGCTTGGTTTTGGACGAGCCCGAGGCCCCCCCGTCAGCTTCGGCGACCGATGTGATGAATGACCTCTCCAGTGCACTGGAGCGTCTCCAAGTGGCATTTGCCACACCGACTCCCGGCTTGGGTGCCCCTGGCCCCGCCGAGGAGGGCGACAGGGACATGGGGGATGCGGACGGCACGGAGCGGGCCACACCACCGGAGGAGGCGCAGACGCCACCCACGAAGAGACTGAAGGGCTTTGTGGCGGCTTCTCAGAAGGCTACGTCTCAGGCCAACAAACCTGTCACCTTGGTGCCGGTGGACGGAAAACCTGGGTACTTCAAGCTGGTGGACCTCCCGGACTTGTTTCCAGTCCTTCCAGCGTCGGCGGCCACCTTGCTGAGAGACATCACGGTGGAGGAGGCGGTCTCCCTGTTTTACAAGTTTGTTGGGAAGAACCTCACGGAGGACCTGGTGATCCGCATCTTGGAGGCGTACGTCCCGATGAAGATCCAGCTCCGCCAGGAGGAGGTCTGGGCTTCGCAGTTCCAGAGGAACAAGGCGTGTATCGGCACCCAGCGCATGTACAGGCTCGACGCAGGTCATTCCGACTACAAGTTCATGTGCAAGGCATGCGGAACGGGGTGGCCAGAGGCAGCCAAGCAGTGCTGGGTCTGCCCCGGCAAGGAGTCCGCCCCCTTCCAGGCACCCTCGGCCACCTATGAGGCGGACGGCATCACCTACAACCTGCTCATCTTGGAGGGCAAGCCAATCTGGATCCAGCAGCGGGAATGGGGAAGCCTGGGTGCCGTTGGCCCCGGTGGTACCCTGGCACAGGCCGACCGCAACTTGGTGGACGGCACGGTCTTGGGGAGAGCCCCTCCAAAAACGGACTCGGCTGATGAGATCACCATGGCAGATGCGGTCCCGCTTAACATGCGGGTGGACATCCGGCAGGAGATCCTGTCCATGGAGGCGGATGACGAGGCGATGAAGGTCCGGGATAGCCAGGAGATCCGGGTCAAAGTGCAGCGGTCCCTGAAAGAGGCGGAGGCTCAGAGCTTCGAGCTCTACCATCCCCAGGTGGACCAGGCGATCAGGAAGAAGGAGGAGCTGCATAAGGCCTTGCGGGAGCAGCGGGAGCCGACTCCGGAGGAGGCCTCGGCCAGGCGGCTGCACAAGGAGTTGGTCACTGAGGAGATGCTGGACAACGAGATGGCGATCCAGGAGGGCATGCAGGCCCTGCCGTCAGATGAGGTGGCCAACGAGGGAGCCCGTGCCCTCAGGAAGGTCAACCTGGAGCGTTTCAAGGCCAAGGGGGCCCTGGATGCCTACCTCCATGCCTACAACCCGGCCTTCTCGGAGTACATTTGGGCAGTGGACAGTAGGCGAAAGGGTGGCGATCTTGGACATGACATGCTGGGAGACGAGCCATACTCTACAATGTGCTCCATGGCCATGGCGGGCAAGGTCGCCTTTGTGGGGGGCGGCCCCAACTGCAGAACGTGGAGCATTCTCAGATGGTTCCCCAAACCGGGAGGCCCGCCGCCGGTGAGGGGCAGGGCAGAGCAGACCCTGTGGGGCTTGGAGGACCTGGAGCCCCGATTAAGGGAGGACACGGACAACGACAGCGTGCTCATGCTCCGACAGATGTACCTGACCTCGCTGGCCTACCAAGGACTAGGTCAACGAGCACCCGATGGACCCAATGGAGTGCAGCAAGACCCGAGCGCAGCGAGGTGCTCATCGATCTGGGTCACACGGGCCTATATTCAATGGGCGAACGCACTCCACCACTCCCTCATCAAGTTTGACGAGTGCCGCCTGGGCCAGGTGGTAGTGAAGTCCACGACATTGTCAACGGACCTTCCCCTTCACCATTGGCATGATCTGCGATGCAACCACGGAGCTCACCCCAATTTAGAAAAGCTCAACTCCAGTGACCTCAGCCGGTACCCAGAGCAGATGATGCAGGGTCTCGCAGCGGCCATCCTCTGCAGAGCGGGACCCGTCCTGGAGGCGCTGAGGCCGGGGGGCACGGTGCCCCAAGTGAACCCAACGACCCCCCGAGGCGGCAGAGGGAACCATCTCCCCACACGCGGGGGGACAACAAGCGCCAGTCCCTGAGGCTGAAGGCCGGCCAACAAGCGTTGGCGGGACTAACCTTGGGCTCACGTCGGTCCCTACACCAACACAGCCGGCGGGAGGTCGAACTACGGGGTGAAACTCTTCCCCTTCAGCTATGGGCACGCCATTGCATGAAGATCTCCGATCGGCCCACCACCCTGCCGATCACGCACGACCCAAATCTCTCCGACAAGGTTATGTACCTCCAGATGGCCTTCAAACAGCGCCCCCTCAGGGACCGCCGTGGGAAGCCCTCACTTGGACGGCCCACCCCCGTGGACTCGGCCATTGTCCAAAGCAGCAGCGCTGGGGGCCAAGATCTTTGTCCTCACGTTCCCATGGGGGGACAAACTCCAGGAGTCGCTCTCGTTGGGGGACGGTCACACCCCTTCCAGCAGGACCTGCTGGAAGATATCAGGGAGATCCTGGCGCCAGGGGCAGGCCGACCAGCGGAAGGCCAACCCTTCTTCCTGGACATCTTGCACAGCCTCGCTATGAACATTCAGGACCCCCACCACCAGTTTCCTCGGGATCTGGAACAAGGGGTCCCACTGGCCACTCAAGAAGGAGCTAAAAGCGGAGGAGCCCCAGTTGCAGGAACTCCCTCATCCCACTCGCCCGGGTAACTACCCCTCAGCGGATCACTTCAGTGAGCTCATCCGTAGCACATTCCTGGAGGAGGTCCCCATGGGCATGGTAGATGGCCCTCTCACCAAGGTAGAGGCAGCAGCGCGCTGTGGCTGCAATATGCCCAGGCCCCCTAGCGGGCATCGACGAAGGGGACAAGATCCGCACCATCTACGATGGCTCGGTGGGCGGGGCCAATGACACCATCAGGAACCAGACGGTGGAAAGGACGACGGCTCCGACGGTGCTGGATGGGGTACAAGCGCTTCCTTGGCTACATGCGGCAGTTGAGGAGGGACCTCCCTCTCAGGGTGCCCCCGGCCCCGAGAGGGAGGTCGCTAAACCTCCACCCGAGGGCTGGCAATGGCCGGAGCCGGGCACCAGGTGGGTGCTGCGGACGTCACCAAGGCCCACCGGAGAGTCAAGGTCCTCAGGAAGGACTGGCGGTTCCAGGTGACCCCACTGGGGGAAGAATGGTGGGTGAACAAGGTAGGCACATACGGCATGGCCAGTGCCCAATCCTACTGGGGACGCCTGGCAGCCCTTCTACTCAGGGTCCTCTACGCACTTTTCCCTCAAGTGGATTGGAACTTCGTCTTTGTGGATGACTTCCTGTGGCTGCTTCGCAGCAAGGGGGCAGTGAACTTGGCGGTGGCGCTGTTGGCAACACTCCTGGCCTTGGGCACCCCGCTTAGCTGGAAGAAGACACATTTGGCGGAGGTCAACAGGTCCACCCGAACATCCCGCAGGTTCTCATGGCCGCCAACAAACACATCCTGGTGATGGAGGTCTTGCAGATCATGGTGGAAGGGCAGGCGATGCACTCAAAGGACATCGAGAAGGCCCTGGGCCGCATCCAATGGGCAACTGCTGCATGTCCGCTGGCGAAGTCGATGCTTCAGCCACTGTGGGCCTGGAAAATGGCCACCACCACGGTGGGGAAACCCCCTAAGGTGGTCAGGATGCTGGCGTTCATGCTGCGGTTCCTCTTCAACACGCCCTTCGTCCAGTACTCCCCTTACTTGCCGAAGTCCTCTTGGTGGGGTTGCAGCGATGCTAGCGCCTCGGATGAAGGACTGGCATTTGTGGGAGGCTGGTGCTCCAACAAAGTGGAGCCGGAGAAGAAGGAGGTGTACTGGTTCCACGAGCAGATCCACGTGGAGGAGTACCCGTGGGCATTCAAGAATGGGGATCCCAAGCGGAGGATTGCGGCTCTGGAAATGCTGGGCACGCTCTTCCTCTGTAACATGATCCTCACGCACCAAGGCCCTCTGTCCTCCCGGGTCCGACTCCCGGTGGGCAGTGACAATCAGGGCAACGTCATGGCGATGCTCAACCTTGGATCCAAGAAGCCCTACACCGCGGCTATCCTGATGGAGCTGGTCTTCCTGCTCCACACCCATGGCTGCTCGCTGGCGGCCAACCACGTGCCCCGGGAATTCAACCAGTGGGCCGATGAGCTGACGCACCCAGATTTCTCGGGGTTCGACCCTTTGCACAGAGTTCCTAAACAGGAACTCTGCGAGGAGTTCATTTTTCTCCCGCGTCTCCTGAATGGAGATGCATTTGATCTTAGCGTGGGCCCACCCATGCTCCCGTGACCGGTGGTGGGTGACTCACTTCCCTGGGGCCTGGGCCCCCCCAGGGGCGGGCGCTATCAGTCTGCACACCCGTTCTTCAGTTTTTGAGAGTTTGTGGTGGGTGGCCCATGGGGCCCACCCAGCCGTAGACATCTGACAGGGGAAGATGAGTCCCTGGCACCAACACATTGCTTGGATAAAAGAGTTATCGCTTGCTTGTGTGGTGCCGTTTGGTTAGCTTACATACACAAGAGCAACTCAGGAGCATGCACCCACAGAACAGGGACGGCTCTTTGTGTTGCCGCCTCGCATGAGGTTTGGGTTGGGACCCACCCCAATACTTGACTGCTATTGGGTTGATCTTTAGATTTTCACTTTTTGGAAATCAAGGCGTTTTCCACTAAACCCCCAAAAAGTTTTTTTTTGCAGGGGGTCAACAGCAACCAAGAATAAACCTTCACTTTGGGGGGGTCCAACACACCTGCATTCATTTATCAAGAGAATGCCTGGGCAGGCCAGCTTCACGTTGACACGTTGGCCTGGTTCTTGTTCACATGCAGATCTCCGCGGTACCGAAAGGTATGTTTCTACCTGCAGATGCATCAAAACGGTGCAAGATGTGCCGAAATCGGCAAGGAAGACTCTCAGATTGGGACCTTTCATTTAGCAGCCCCTTCGCAGACGTTTCAACCAGCTTCTTGTTTTCCCATGCTGTATTTTAGACGGTGTTCCCAAAGGCTAGTTTTTATTTTAGTGAGATTGTTTTGACCGGACCCTTCTCTGCGCAATGTCATCAGCGCGCCATTTGGGGCAGCTTTGGTCCAAAGTCGTGGTTACGCCATTCCTCAATCACGGAAGACAAGTAAGTCCCACGCATTAGTCACTTCTCATCAATGGAGTTGGCAAGGGTGTGCATTTAAGAATATTGTTGCCAGAGGAGAGCGTTGAGATCCCACAACATTGCCTTGAAAGAAAAATCGGCATCTCAACTTTGTGCAAGCAACTGCAAGCCTGTGAGATGGTCTTCAAGTTGTTCTCCCTGCAGGCAGTCCCGCGCCGCAAGGCTGGGGGAGAGGGGAGAGGGTCAGTCACAGGTTCCAGGCATGTGGGCGGGTGTGTGTGTGTGTTGGTGTGTTCTTGTTGCGGTTCCCGGCCTTAAGATGGTTTGAAGGGCGACCAAATGGGCGGAAAAATCCTTTTTGGGCGCAAAGCCATGTGAGGTTCGGTCAAAATGGCCAGTCAATGCGGTCAAATCTCACTCATTTGCCCCCAACAAGTCGGACAACATATCAAGTAGGCGATGTCAAATTGAGGAGGGACAAGAAAGGCGGACTCGATGTCCGCACGTCCAATGCCCCTCAAAGACCCTTCCTGAATGAGCAATGGCCACTTGAGCGTTTCGGGTGCTTATGTTGCTTGACTGAAGGGAAGCCCAGAGGTGGGTGACTTCAAAGGGCCTTGCAGGTGGCTTCGTGGTTCAACCACCTGAAGGATGTGAGTCGGGTTTGGATTCGGGTTTGTCTTCAAATGGAGGAACCTCCAAGTTCGGTCTCCATTTGAAATTTGGTGTCCCTCACAACCCCAAAAAGGCTACCCTCGAAAAAAGACACACCCATTTGCATTCCAACCCAGCCCGTTTTGAACAGCAGAACGCCCACCGGGTGTTGCGCCAGTTGCTTGAGGCTTTGCACGGGGCATGTCCAGCCCCGTCAGGGGCGTCAGCGGGGGCCCTGGCAGCTCATCCAAGTTGATGTCTTGGAGGTTTTTCCCATGGTCCACGTGGGTGGTCATGAGATTGCTTGGGGTTGGCAGGGATGGTCATGGACTATGACAAGGTTTCCCAGCGGTCACAGACGAGTTATGGACGCCCTTTGGCAGTGGAAAGGTTTCGTATCCCATTTGTGAGCCACCCTTCCGTTCCATGAAACAAGGTAGATCTGTGGTTCCCTTCTTGAAACCGGACGTCAGCTGGCCGCCCAGCCACTTGCCGAACTGCTAGCCTTGTTCCAACTTGAGGTAGCAAGGAGTATCCCCAGCAGCCCTGGAATGGCGCCCATGACCCTGGAGCCAAGATGGACCCCACGTTTTGGCCATGGTCAAGATAGGTCGAGTTGCTACATGGCCTTGCACTCCCTTGTTCAAACACATACAGGCCTTCAAAAGGCTTTACGGCATTTAGGGGGCCTTGTATTTTGTTCAAAGGGGGGGGGAACTCGGAGCATCCATTCATCATAGGTACGCTTTGCAACCCCCCTTGGCTATGAATCTTTTGGATTGCCGGACTACACATCCCAGCTTATCTGCGGGAACTCCCTAAACCGCAAACAACATGTTCCTGGTGTTTGGTGGGTTTCCTGTAAGGTCAACCAATAACACACATCTTTTGGGTTCCATTCACAGTCGACATGAGCGGCATCTTGGTCCGACTCGGCCTACATTGATGTCCTCCCTTCAAACATCAAGCAAACAATAGGATTTGGTCCTTGGCCTTGTTGTCGAAAGAGGTCCCCAATTTTTCGACACCCACATCCTTGCGAGTTCCGCGGGAATGATGTTCCCGAACGCTCTGACTGGGCAAGTTCCTTCACGTGTTGAACCGCGTGAAGGAAGTGCAAGGGTATGCATTGGGCAAACACAACGGGTTGACTCTGGCAAAGGTCACTTGCGATGCGGATGATGCTGCCAAGCTAACGGAGTGACTCTAACGAAAACAAATGTGACACTGGCAAGGCTGATGTCTCGAAAGATACCCTCCCTCCCACTAACGTGGCACCTGAGGGGTGGCTTCCAAACAAAACTGATCTTCCAGGTAATGGTCCTCCCACAGGTGCTGTGTTTTTGGGAAGAAGGCAAGTTTTTTACACTCGCGATTTTCATGGTAATGCGAAGCTACAATCTGTAGCGTCAACCCCTTCAAAGCACTTGGCAACGTCATTAGCATCTCCAGTCTCAAAAAGCTGTTTGTAGCGTCAAATCTTTGGTGACGACATCATGGGCATCGCTAGGGTCAAAACAACTCTCGGCACTGTCCCTGTCTGCCCCTTTGCTCGACATCATCCGCATCGCCAGTGCCAAGCTATACCGGCGTCAACCTTTTTAGAGCGCTTCGCGACATCATTCGCATCGCCAGTCGCACACAGACTCAGGGATGTCCTCTTAACTCCGACACTCCTTTATGGTTGCGGTGGTTGACGTTGTTGTTTTCATGGCGGCTGATCCTCCCTTTTCAGCTGAGGCTATGAGAGCCGCTGGGAGAGCCTGGACCCCTGGATGCGCTCATCCAAAGCCGCGATGCGGGTCATTTGGGGGTGGTTCCGTTTGGATGTTGAAGCGGAAGCCGCAGGGAAATCACCTGTTTTGGTGGGGTTCCCTATTGTCCGACACACCCTTTTTGGTTCTTGGGGGTTGTCATTGTTTTTCCGGCAGCCTGAAGCCAGGCGTCGGCTAAATAGCTTCCTGGGTGCAGCGTGCGTTGATCAGGTGCGATGGTCGCCGTTGGTTCCAAATGGTCAAGGATATATTGACCCAAGAAAAAGCACTGGGTTACCAAAAGGGTTTCCCTGACCGGAACCAGCGAAGTGGCGGCCCCAACACAAAGCGATGCTTCCACGCAGCGGCCGACCGATCAGGCCCTCGTCGCGGTCGGCGGCCCCGGGAGTCGTGAGGGGTCGAAAGGACGCTCGAAAGCCTGGATACGAATTACTTTGGTGCATTTTGCCAAGGGACTGGCAAGAAGTGAGCTGAGTTGCCAACTAATGGGTTTTCCGAATTAAACCACTACAAGTTAGAACTTGTAGCAGGGGAGCAGAAAGCAACCGAGCTAATTACTGTGTTGGATCTGTATGAAACCTGTGACTTGGGAAAATGTTTTTTTTCCCGCCTGCAAAGAGTGAAGCTTTTTGGATGGGCTTGTCGCGGCATCAAGCATGCAAGAGAAACAGAACCCACCAGGCCTCGTTTCGAGGGACGCGGGAGCATAAGGCGTCCGAACAGTAGGCCGGGAAGGCAGAAAGACGCCAGCCATGAGCGGCACCATTTCTTGAGGCGCGCTCATAATTTGAACACATGAATCACAGTTGGGCTTTTGGAAAGGGGGGGTGACCCTCAGAATTCAAGGCTTAAAAAGTAAAAAGGTCCCTTGACTATACAGAGGTGCATTGAGTTTCTTTTCGAGCCTTGACAACGGGTTGTTAATCATGGGAAGCCAAGATTAGATTGACACTTTAGGGGGAAATCCAGTGTTGTACCCACATTCTCCTGTCAACCGGTTGCTCATGTGCGATTCCATGGACTGAATCAATCAAGTTTATGGCAAGATGGGTCGATGGCCATGAACCATCGAATTTCTAGCGGGCTCAAAAACCCCCCCATGTTTTGCTCATCTCCCGAGAGGAAAACCTTCATTTCCGCAGGCCCAAATTAGCTTGCGCTGGCCGGCCACATCTCGCCGAGGGGAATGGGTTTCGATCACCATGGGGTTTTGCTTGGGTTTTGCTTGTTGCAGATGCAGGTGCAGGTTCATTTGAGCAAGGATGCTCCTAGTGGCTTGGCGACAGTTTCCTTTTGAGGAGTTGATGGTCCTTGGGTGTTTCTAAGAAACGGGCTTGCAACCAACTCTTCAAATTTTGGGTATCCTTCAAAAATGCCTTTGTATTTTGGGGTAGCCTTGATACAAAACAGCATGAGAACATGTTGCTCTCCGTGTACCCAAAAGGGTCAAACCACAGCACTTATTTTTAAAACCAAGGCACCCGCGTGCACGGCCTGCGCCGAGAAAGCAGTGCCCTGGCTGCAAGAATACATTGGGTTGAAAGTCCATATCAATTATTATGTGCTCCACTTCAGAATGTTTTTGTTTTCACGCAAATTGGCCGCAATGCTCCATTGTATTGCATCCATGGGCGCCGTGTTGCCAGCCAAGGTCCAAAGAATGGATACTTCGGCAGCCAGCTCAGATGTGCCTCCAGCCTGATTTCGGAAGTCCGCCGTGCCTGCAAACATGACTTGATTGATGGCCTTTGATTCACCAAATCCGCCGTCGAGGGTTTGTTGAAGCTTTTGAGGCTCACATGGATCAAGGGCAGCTAGGCGTCTCAGGCGTGTTTTTATGCGGCCCTCTGAGGCGTCAGTGCGCTGGGGGATAGCTTCCGACGGGAAAGCAGCACCTTGGCATAGAAATTGATGCAGGGGCTTGGACCCAGCGCATGCAGGGGAACATGTTGCAGAGTGTACTTGTCAAAGGTACAATGGCACGGAATGTGACCTGTTGACTTTTTTTTGCGTTGGGCTGTTGGTCACTGCCCTTGCCTAAAAAGCCCGAAATGCCCAGTAGTCAGTCCGTGTGACAGGCAAGGCGAGAGGATTCACTGAAAAGAGCATGCAGCATACTCTGCTTGAGGCTCCCACTAAAACACACGCGTGCACGCATTTAATATTTTTTGCGTGTTGAGTCGATGTCATAAGCCCCCCCCCCAAAGTGTGCCTTGCACTGATGCAACACTTGAAAGCTGTCTCACGGAGCGGCTTGCAAGATCTAAAGCTTCGCCGACAAGTACTGGCATTGGAGTGAGGGGGTCGACTCAATGCTTCTCCGGGTCATTCGGCAAACAAGAAGCTGTGCTGATTCAAATGAGGCATTAGCGCGCTGAATAGCCTGCGCCGAGAACGCAGTGCCTTGGCTGCAACAATGCAATTAGTGGAAATGTAATCACATGTTTTTGTCCTCCCTCTCCGGCCATACATTCAATGTTCCACGAGTTCATGTGGACACACGCATGTTGGTCGATGTGCTTCATTGTATTGCATCTGTGGGCACGGTGTTGCCAGCCAAGGTCCAAAGAATGGATACTTCGGCAGCCAGCTCAGATCTGCCTCCAGCCCGATTTAGGAGTCCATGCCATCTAAGGCCATGCCTGCAAACATGACTTGATTGATGGCCTTTGATTCACCAAATCCGCGTTAGCGGATTGGTTGAAGCTTTTGAGGCTCACATGGCTCAAGGGCGGCTCGACTCAGGCGTGTTTTTGTACGGCCGTTGAGGCGTCAGTGCGCTGGGGGATAGCTTCCGACGGGAAAGCAGCACCTTGGCATAGAAATTGATGCAGGGACTTGGACCCAGCGCATGCAGGGGAACATGTTGCAGGTACAATGGCATGGAACGTGACCTGTGGATGTTTTTTTTGCGTTGGGCTGTTGGTCACTGCCCTTGCCTAAAAAGCCCGAAATGCCGAGTCATCAGTCAGAGTGACAGGCAAGGTGAGGCGACCCAGTGAAATGAGCATGCAGCATACTCTCCTTGGCTCCGGTACACGCACACACACACAAATTGATTCGATGTGATGTGTGTGTGTGTGATGTTACAAGGCCTGCCTGGCCCGCTCCCCAAAAAATGTGGCTTTGCGCTGATGCAATAAATAGGTAAGGCTCGATGCCTGTCAGAAATTGAAAGCTGGCATGCGCAGCAGCTCGCAAAGAACCGAAGCTTGGCTGACAAAGTACTTGCGTTGGAATGAGGGGTTCAACTCAGTGCTTCTCCAAGCAAGAAGTCGTGCTGACAAACAAGAGTCATTCAGGCACTGAACAGCCTGGGTCAAGAAAGCATTGCCTTGGCTGCAACAATGTATACAATGGTGTATGCCCGCCCTTCTCCAGATAGGCATTCTAGTTTGCAAAAGCCCACACGGATAATGAAATTACATATGTGAATGTGTGTGTGTCGCAAGGCTCCGTCGATTATTTTGTGTATTGCGTCTATCCGCATAGTGTTGCCAGCCAAGGTCCAAAAAATGGATACTTCGGCAGCCAGCTCAGATTTGCCTCCAGCCCGACTTGGGAAGTCCGCTTCACCAAATCCGCCGTAGAGGGTTCTTGAAGCTTTTGAGGCTTACATGCATCAAGGGCGGCTAGGCGTCTCAGACATGTTTTCATAGACATGTTTTCATGCGGCCCGTTGAGGCGTCAGCGCGCTGGGGGATAGCTTCCGACGGGAAAGCAGCACCTTGGCATAGAAGTTGATGCAGGGACTTGGACCCAGCGCATGCAGGGGAACATGTTGCAGAGTGTACTTGTCCAGGTACAATGGCATGGAATGTGACCTGTTGACTTTTTTGCGTTGGGCTGTTGGTCACTGCCCTTGCCTAAAAAGCCCGAAATGCCCAGTAGTCAGTCCGTGTGACAGGCAAGGCGAGAGGATTCACTGAAAAGAGCATGCAGCATACTCTCCTTGAGGCTTTGGAACACGCACACACACACATCGATTTGATGTGTGTGTGATGTTATAAGGCCTGCCTGCCCCTCACCCTCCAAAAACACGGAAGAAGTGACTTTACGCTAATGCAATGAATTGGTAAGGCTCGATGCCTGTTCAGGAATTGAAAGCTGGCATGCGCAGCAGCTCGCAAAGAGCCGAAGCTTTGCTGACAAAGTAGTTACATTGGAATGAGGGGTTCAACTCAGTGCTTCTCCAAGCAAGAAGTCGTGCTGAAAAAAAAGAGTCATTAGGGCAATGAACTGCCTGGGTCAAGAAAGCATTGCCCTGGCTGCAACAATGTATACAATGGTGTGAAAGTCAGATATGCCCGCCCCTCTCCAGATAGGCATTCTAGTTTGTACAAGCCCACGCGGATAATTATATTACATATGTGAATGTGTGTGTCGCAAGGCTCCGTCGATTCTTTCGTGTATTGCGTCTATCCGCATAGTGTTGCCAGCCAAGGTCCAAAAAATGGATGCTTCGGTAGCCAGCTCAGATTTGCCTCCAGCCCGATGTCGAAAGTCCGCCGTGCCTGCAAAACTGCCTTGATTGACAACCTTTGATTCACCAAATCCGCCATAGAGGGTTTGTTGAAGCTTTTGAGGCTCACATGGATCAAGGGCAGCTAGCCGTCTCAGGCGTGTTTTTATGCGGCCCTCTTAGGCGTCAGCGCGCTGGGGGATAGCTTCCGACGGGAAAGCAGCACCGTGGCATAGAAGTTGATGCAGGGACTTGGACCCAGCGCATGCAGGGGAACATGTTGCAGGTACAATGGCATGGAATGTGACCTGTTGACTTTTTTGCTTTGGGCTGTTGGTCACTGCCCTTGCTTAAAAAGCCCGAAATGCCCAGTAGTCAGTCCGTGTGACAGGCAAGGCGAGAGGATTCACTGAAAAGAGCATGCAGCATACTCTCCTTGAGGCTTTGGAACACGCACACACACACATCGATTTGATGTGTGTGTGATGTTATAAGGCCTGCCTGCCCCTCACCCTCCAATAACACGGAAGAAGTGACTTTACGCTAATGCAATGAATTGGTAAGGCTCGATGCCTGTTCAGGAATTGAAAGCTGGCATGCGCAGCAGCTGGCAAAGAGCCGAAGCTTTGCTGACAAAGTAGTTACCAGTTGCATCTATTGGCACGGTGTTGCCAGCTAAGGCCCCAAGAATGGATACTTCGGCAGCCAGCTCAGATTTGCCTCCAGCCCGATTTGGAAGTCCAATTTGATGCCATCGAGTGCCATGCCGGCAAACATGACTTGATTGACAACCTTTGATTCACCAAATCCGCCGCAGAGGGTTTGTTGAAGCTTTTGAGGCTCTGGATCAAGGGCGGCTAGGCGCATCTTGCGTGTCCTCATAGTGCCTGTTGAGGCGTCAGCGCGCTGGGGGACAGCTTCCGCCGGGAAAGCAGCAGCTTGGCATACGCGTTGACACGGGGTCATGTTGCAGATGATTGCAAACCGACGGATGCGACGACATTGCTCGAGTTGAAGCAGCAGTTGGATTTTGAATGAAGGGTTGAAGTCAGTGCTTCTCCCAGTCGGCGCGCGGAACCGCCTGCGCCGAGAGCAGTGCCCTGGTAGCTAGATGAGTAACAACCAAGCTCTCTATTGGCGATCCTACTACCCGATTCCAGTGGGGATATACTGCAGCCTGCATGAAGCTCTACCGCCACGAAGGGGTGGTTAGTTGCCCGTGTGAAAGGAATGTGTTCTGTTTTTGTTTCCGGTCTTGGCATCAAGTCGGTCGGCACCATTTTGGCCTCACACATGTCCACGCTACAGGTCCACACAACGCATACTTCGGCCGCCAGCTCAGCCGGTCGCCAGCTAGCCTCGTGGAAGTGGAGCGGAGGGTATTGGAAAGACTACCATCTGCCTAAACAGGCCTCCTGCGCGCCGTGATTTAGTGGAGTTGCTGGGTTTGGGAAGTGGATGTTGCTTTGGACGAAGTCGTGGCCTGATCTTTAGCCGAATTCAAAGCGGCAGAGGACCAGCTGCTAGCTGCCTGGGCTTGAGCTCGCATTGTCAAAGAGTCAAAGAAGGATCCCCTGCTTGTTTGCTCCAGGTGGTTGTAGCTGGGTTTGTTTCCAAATCGGACCCAAGAGGGTGACGTTACTTTTCTCTTTCAAAGAACATTCAAGAATGGATTTCTCAAGGAGATGCACCCGGGTTTCTTTCACTCAAAGGACCTTGCGGGCAAGTCCTTGAAGGCCATAAGCCTACGCCTTGAGGCGTCACCGTCGGGGAGAGCCTGCGGAGGGAAAGTAGCGCCTTGGCTGGGGGTGCCTAAAGCCCTGATATGGCTGTGGTTGTCAAAACCCTTTTGGTACCAGTTTGGGGTAGGTGCACCACCCATTTTAGTCTATTTTACTGGGGGTACGGGATTTTGACCCATATCATGTTTCAAGCAGAACTTTAGAGCCTGCTCAGGCCGACATGTCACCGTGACCCTTCCAACTTGAGAGGTAAAAGGAAAACATCACGCTTTCACGTCTTCCGGGGGGACTAGGGGGAAGCCTCTTAGTATCCGACGACACTGTTAGCGGACTTTGCAGACTTGTTGAATTAGAGGGAGCAATCCCCCGAAAGTGACGGATTCAAGGATTCTCTTTTCGTTGGTTCGCCACTCCTATGGATCGACTATGGAGTGATTGATTCGTCAGCACACAGTCGATTGACGTGAGGCTAGCAATCAAAGGTGTCCAAACAGCGGGGACCCCACCGATGTTGTTTCAGAAGGAACCCAAGAGGCCGCCTTTTGCCAGCATTTCTGACCCCAGATTTGAGATTCGGGAGCTGCCAGGACCCCAGGAGGGCCAAGCGGCCAAAAATAGTGAGTTGATTTATTCACCAGGGCCGTGAAATTTTTACCAAGCAACCGGTGGTTTTTGTAAATGGTGTCCCCCCCTTTCGGAACCCAAGGCTTCTCTGAGTCTTCGAGAGGGGCAGGGTGGCAAGGAATGGATCGGTTCAATCTGGCGAGGTATGAGTGCGCTGGGCAGCAGCTTCCGAGAGAGCAGTGGCCTGGCAGATGGGAAGGGGAAGGGCGCGCTGGGAGTTCTGTGGGTGCAAACGTCACAGGTTGGGTTTAGTATGGAACAGGTTTGCCATCACTGGTAGTTATTTCATGACATACGTCACAGGTGCTTGGGCCGCATATTATGTATGTTATTCACGGATCATCAAGTAGACCTGGTTATACATGTCCGAACAAATAACAATGCAACACAAATGCAACATTCAATGCAAATCGAAAGTACATCAAGCTAGCGGAGCGGTCTCAGGCCAGCAATGCCTGCTTCTTTCCCTAGTATGTTATGCATCAGAGCGTTTGGGAAGCGCCCCTTTGGTTTTTTGAAGGGAATCCAGACGCAAATCAATGATCTAATCTGGTTAGGTTTTGAAGACAGCATACCCTCCTGCCTTTTTATATATGGAACCTGACAGGGGGCTTCTTGGTCACCAGGACCCCCCCAAACGTGTGAAAAGGGTGGGAGGGCAAATGATTCACGAATGAGATGAACCCATGGCTCAGCATTGTCTCAGGCCCAAAGAACGGATACGGCCGCCAACTCAGCTGCCGAGCAGTTTCTATGCCGGCAGAACTGCTTCCAGTCTTGCCTCATATGTGGGGGGGTCCTAAACAGGTGGGGACCCCTTGTGGACGGTGAATTGAAGGCAGCAAGGGAACTATGTCCAAAGACCTTTCATAATTCAGAGTGCACCAGTAGCCTACGCTACTCGAAATGGCCTTTCAAGGAACGCCAGCCGTTTCTGCACCTAAACCCTGGTGCCAGCCAAAGCCAAGCAGTTTCTCGGAGCTTTGAAAAACCGACCGAGGCTTGAGGTCACTGAAGGGGGTTGACGGCAAAAGGGTCGGTCAAGGGGATGACTCAGGTAAACCGGGTTGGAGTATTGTGGCATAATCCCCTCACCAAACTGTACATGCGCTGGAAGGACTGGTTTGGGCGAAAATTAGCAGATTTACCCTCTGATTCGGAGGCTTCCCTTGATCGTAGTTTTGGGGGAGCCTTGAGACATGTGGGGTTTCCCGAGATCAGGGGCCTCCAAACAGGGTTGTTGAGTGTTATTTGTGCTTAACATTCCACTGGAAGACAGATGGCCCAAAAGTGCATGTTTCGCACTCTGGAAAGTGAAACGTTCCACGCACTCAGGCGATCATATGTGGATATGCGTCATAAATAGGAAACCCAAGCAAGGGTAGTTGTCCTTTTGGTTACCCCATGGCTACCCCCAAAAAAGTAGACACCCATGTGGCAGTGAGCATAAGCTGTCACCAAGAGATCTCGTTGCGCAACCTCTCTGCATCTCTTTTCACAGTCTCTTTGTGTGCGTTATCTCTTTGCGCAATCTTATTGTGCAAAATCTGCGCTGGGTGCAACGATTTAGCAAATCTTTTGGGGATGTGTACTGAAGGACGGGTTTGTATGGGGGGGATAGGCATCAAGAAAAACTTGTTAGGGATCAAAAAACAACTTATTAGGGATCAAACAAAACTTACTAGGGATCAAAACAACTTCTTTTCATTCCTATGGGGACACGGAAACAAGCAAGGAAGGAAGGAAGGGAGGGAGGAAGGAAGCAAGGAAGGAAGGAAGGAAGGAATGAAGGCAGGAAGGCAGGCAGGCAGGCAGGCAGGGAGGGAGGGAGGGAGGGAGGGAGGGAGGGGGGAAGGAGGGAAGGAGGGAAGGAAGGAAGGAAGGAAGGAAGGAAGCAAGCAAGCAAGGAAGGAAGGAAGGAAGCCCCCCCCCAACCACCCCGCTGATTTGTAGAAGGTTTACAGTGATTAACGCACCCTTTGCTGAATCCTCACTTCTTCGATCATCATCACCCTTTGTTGAATCATCACATCTTCGAGCATCATTGGCGGGACTGCCGCCCCCCCCAACCCCCCCGCTGACTTTACCGCACCCTTTGCTGAATCATCGCTTCTTCGATCATCATCACCCTTTGTTGAATCATCACTTCTTCGAACATCATGGGGGGGGCTGCCGCCCCCCCCAACCCCCCTGCTGATTTGTAGAATGCTTACGGAGCTTAACGCACCCCGTTGAATCATCACTTCCTCGAGCATCATGGGGGGGCTGCCGCCCCCCAGCGCTTAACGCACCCTTTGCTGAATCATCACTTCCTCGATCATCACTCGCTTTCTTTCTTTCTTTCTTTCTTTCTTTCTTTCTTTCTTTCTTTCTTTCTTTCTTTCTTTCTTTCTTTCTTTCTTTCTTTCTTTCTTTCTTTCTCTCTCTCTCTCTCTCTCTCTCTCTCTCTCTCTCTCTCTCTCTCTCTCTCTCTCTCTCTCTCTTTGCTCCCTTTTATTCATGTTTAAATCTCTGTATTTTTTCTTCACTGCTTGCAAAAATGCTGCGCCTGCGTCAAACTCTGCACCGCACCTTGCAAAAGTGCCGCGCCTTGCAAAAGTGCTGCGCCTGCCGCGAAATCTGTACCTGAGCTTGCGAAAGTATTGTGCCTGCCACGAAGTCTGTACCTGACCTTGCGAAAGTGCTCCGCCTGCTTCGAAATCTATACCTGACCTTGCGAAAGTGCTGCACCTGCTGCGAAATCTGTACCGTACCTTGCGAAAGTGCTGCACCTGCCGCGAATCTGTACCTGATCTTGCGAAAGTGCTGCGCCTGCTGCGAAATCTGTACCTGACCTTGCAAAAGTCCTGCGCCTGCCACGAAATCTGTACCTGACCTTGTGAAAGTGTTGCGTCTGCCGCGAAAGCTGTACCGCACCTTGCGAAAGTGCTGCGTAAGAAAAACCCTCCCAGACCCACCACCTAGAAGGTCAAAGTGTTGTAGGCGATGTTCTCAATGAAATACCTGCGCGGACACGGATGCGGGAACTAACATTAAAAACAAGGGATAGGGGGAGAAGGGGGGGGGGGGGCTGGCATCAAAAACCACATCACCTTACCTTACCTCACCTCACCTCACCTTACCTCACATTAACAAAAATAACACACCTTTTTTCCATCCCACGCTACACAAGTGAGGTGGAGGTTTTTGCCAACCGTGCTGGTGCTCCCAAATTATGGGTCAGGTTGCCCCCAAATTATGGGTCAGGTTGCCCCCAAATTATGGGTCAGGGGGGTCAGGTTCATCACAAAGGGAGCACCAAAGCAGGAAATCAGGCAATGTAGCACCCATTCGGGGCATCTGCCAAAGCATCATGTGAGTGAGCCATCTGTCGGCGGTCATGCTCCATTTTGATGTCATACTTCAACTCTTCCAAGCCCAACTTTGCAGTGCCATCGGCATAGATGCCATATTCATCGCACGTGATGCCCAAGACAAACGCCATGAACTCCTTTTGAAGTTTCCCAATGGCATTGAATGAGCAATCCACCTCTGTCTCACCCACTCCCGCCTCTGGTCTGATGTCCAAGATGAAGGCGTAGCACGGGGCGAGGCGAGGCGGTCGTTTGTTTCGTTTTGTTTAGAGGGGCTTGTAAAAGTCTATTGTATGGTCGGTTGTTTGGTTTTTTGTGTGGTTTGTTGTTTGGTGGGTTTTTTCGGGACAGGGGACTTACCCAGACCTCGTTATGGTTTTGGTATGGTTGATTTAGGTGCCCCCCCCCCCTCCCCAACCCCACCGCTATTTTTTAGAATTTTTGCCCCTGATTGAATCATCAGTTTTTCGATCATCATGGGGCGGGGCTAGTTTGCCCGTATTTCAATCTTCACTTGTACCATCAGGCCTTGCCGCAAAGGAACTGACCCCCTCCGCTTTTTTTGGATTTTTTTGCCCTAATTGAATCATCACTTTTGCAATCATCATGGGGGGGCGGGTAGGCCTCGTACTTCTTCCAAAGGGCACTGCCGGGCAAGGCTCTGCCGACTTGTGCCAAGAAGATGGAGTGAGAGCGCCGCATGGCAATTCCCCGGCGAGAACTGATCATGGAGGAGCCTATAGAGCAGCGGACAGACCGAAGACTCCCGGAGTCTTTTCCTTGGCTGCGCATGCGGGTCATTGCCGTGTGTGGTTTGAAAAGGTGAATCCAAGGAAATCTGCAACGAGTGCCGCTGGAGCGGCATATGATGCGCAGGTTCGCCCGGAGCTTGCCTTTGAGACATTCCTGGTCAAGCTGGAGTCTACCACGACTCCAATCGCCGATTCGTGGCGCCCTTATGTCTTGGAGGGAGGGCTTTGGCAATACTCAGATGCGATCAGATCGTGCAGGCCCCGAAAGATCGGCTTGGCATGTCTCCTCAGACCCCTTCATTTGAGGGAAGGAGCTGTAAGGCACGAGACCTTGTCTTGATGGCCCCAGAGCAGTGGCAGTTGATTGAAGGTTACAACCCTATGATGCAACTGTTCACCAGCGGCGGACTGTGACCGCAGTGTTCCACCTGGGACGCAAGAAAGGCAGTTTCTCATGTACTCCCACTCGATTCCGGGCATGACGTTCACTCGCGAGGATTACCAGTCCGACGCGTGTCCTATCTACCTCATGGAAGTTGGCTGCGTATTCCAGTGTTTTTCTATGTGTGCGTTGGCACTTGAAAACAGCGCTAGCGAGCGGAGTACGGCGCCGATTGAAACGTTTGGGAGCCTATTTGAGATCGGAAATTACAGCTCGCACTTCCAGAAAGACTTTTGCCGGGATGCAGCCTCGTATGAAGATGCCCTTGACATAAGCCCGGCCTGCGTAGAGACGAAGACCCTGCTCTTGCGGTGGGATTCCCTCTTGTCGTATCTGGGGTTGACATCGCTGGAGGTGTGCACCCTCAACCTGGACGACGTTACTTCGATGTCCACATCCAGGTGGGTCAGATACGTGTCGCAGCCGGTGCTTGTATACGCCATGGAGGTGGCTCCGTTGTTGCTTGCTTCTACAGGCGTTGTTGCTGTTGTCCGTCCGCGCTTGGTGAGTTTGTTGACTATTGTGTTTGTTTTGGTGGTTTTGTTTTACTTCAATTTGAGGGTATTCACGTACAATTGGTGGGGCATTGTTCAGATGGTGATGTATTTGATGTTTTTCTTTAATGTGCGGACGGGAGTGGCACCTTCGCCAGCGGAGTACGCGATGGCATTCTTCCAGCTCTTCTTGGCCGGTGTGAGTCGTGCGACCTCCAACGCCTGGGTGATCGTCTTTTGCTCGGCCGGTTCTGCGGCAGCAACGGTTTTGGGCTCCTTGGTCGCGACTCGGGCTACGCTCGCTTGGCCCTTATGTTCCATTTGAGTGCTGGAGCCGTAATGGTCTTGTGTCACGAGTCTTTTACTCCAGCACTGACATGGAGAGTTTGAGTGCGATCTGGAATCTTGTCCGTCACGGAAAAGGAATGCCCAACTTTCCGATTGCCTTTGGCTTTATGGTTCTGATCGCGTTCGTGGCTCTGGCATCTCGGTATGTGTCTGTCCTGGCCCTGCTTGTTTCGCAAGTGACAGGAACGCCTCTTTTTGTCACAGAGGGAAGAAGATTCAGGCGACTGGTGCAAGGATTCTTCCGCAGTGCCTTCGCAGAGACGAGGGCCGATGGCGCCGCTTTGATCTTGGGCATTGTCATGGTGAGAAACCCAGTGCTGACTGTGGGAGGATTT